ACAGACAGACTTTGTAACTTAACTACTAATGCTACCAGTTCTGAAAGTGATTCATTAGAAATAGTTTGCTGTGAGACACACAAAATGCTATTTGAGTAAAAAGTCGTGTTGTCGTTAATCCTTTGTCAAATAATCAAGACTCTGTGGAATGCTTCATGGTTCAAACTTTTACTTAAACTCAGAGCTGACTGATTTTTTGTGATATGCAAGCTCTTTCCTTGTCCTGCTCTCTTGGACTCTGGAACAGAAAAGTTCAGTGATAATGGAGCATTTGCAAATTATGTCTTTCAGTACAACGGAAATGGAAGCTTCATTTTTCATTCTTTTCAGTCTAGTAGAGCTCTGATCTCTCATGCCTGACATATATTTTCTTTTGGAATCTATCTTTTCTACTGTCTAAGTACTCATGATAAAAAAGTACTTCTAGAAGGCAGAATAAGTTGAGCACATTGTGTTTTATCTTTATGATGAAATGCCTACTTCCCATTAAAAGGCAAATACTTCTTTTGAAAAAGTTGAATAGAAAGGTGCTTAAAAAAGAGACTTATAGATGAAATTTGGAGGACTAAGAAAAACTGTTAAAATTTATTTGATCTTGGATACATTTCCATTTATTTTTAATTAGTTCTGATACATACACATATATGTATATATATGTATGTACACACACACAATACAGTGAAAAGAACAGAATGCCAGGCAACCTAGTGTTTGCATAGAACTTAACAAGCATTGTCTTGTTTTACCCAAGAAAATTTTAATCAGTAAGTAGCAAACTTTCAGTCATTTGTTTATTCATTCATTTATTCAGCAGACATTTGAGGTCTACAAGGTCCTAGGGCCTTTGTTATATTCTGATGTGAAAATATGAACAAGAAGTGCTCTCTCCTCAAAAGCCTGCCTTTCAGCCCAGACAGACTAAACAAAACCCATTGTGCTCAGGGTCAGTATTGTCAGTGGAAGCTACATCATAGGGAGGTATCTAATATGAGACCTCCTGGGTGTAAACTTTGTACTATTGCATGTTAGCCTTGTGACCATGGTCAGTCAGTGCACCACTGAAGGCCTCAGACTCTTTATTTTTAAATTAAGTAGCACCACCTTACTGGGTTGCCATGAGTATATAAAGGCCTACGTAGAATGACAATAAATGCTACATAAATATTAATTGTTATGATTAACTTTTAAAAACACAGTGTGAACCAAGTACTTGGGAACACAGAGGTGGGAACTATGGAAAACGACTAGAAAGGTTCTGGAAAGATAATACAGAAAATGTATTCTGTGCGCTGTGTGGGTTTGGGGTGAGAAGAATCTTCAAAGGAACATAGATGGCATGTAAATACATAGGTGCTTAGGGGAGGATGGTTAAAGCTATGGAGGAAGGGGCTTTCTAGAATGCTTATATTGTTTTCCTTCATGTGTTCAACTTTTTTTTAATTGAAGTATAGTTGATTTACAATATAGTGTTAGTTTCAGGTGTACTGCTTAGTGATTCTATTATTTTTTTCTTATTATATTCCATTATAGATTATTACAACATGTTGAACATAATTTCCGGTTCTATATAGTAAATTCTTATTGCTTATCTATTTTATATATAGTAGTTTGTATCTGTTAATCCCACACTCCTAACTTGTCCCTCCCCACCTCACTCTCCCCTTTGGTAACCATAAGTTTGTTTTCTATGTCTGTGAGTCTGTTTCTGTTTTATATGTAGATTCATTTGTATTGGTTTTTTTTATTTTTAACATCTTTATTGGGGTACAATTGCTTTACAATGGTGTGTTAGTTTCTGCTCTATAACAAAGTGAATCAGTTATATATATACATATGTTCCCATATGTCCTCCCTCTTGCGTCTCCCTCCCTCCCACTCTCCCTATCCCACCCCTCCAGGCTGTCACAAAGCACCGAGCTAATATCCCTGTGCCATGCGGCTGCTTCCCACTAGCTATCTACCTTACTACGTTTGTTAGTGTGTGTATGTCCATGACTCTCTCTCGCCCTGTCAAAGCTCACCCTTCCCCCTCCCCATATCCTCAAGTCCGTTCTCCAGTAGGTCTGCGTCTCTATTCCCGTCCCACCCCTAGGTTCTTCATGACATCCTTTTTTTTCTTAAATTCCATATATATGTGTTAGCATACGGTATTTGTCTTTTTCTTTCTGACTTACTTCACTCTGTATGACAGACTCTAGGTCTACCCATCTCATTACAAATAACTCAATTTCGTTTCTTTTTAAGACTGAGTAATATTCCATTGTATATATGTGGCACATCTTCTTTATCCATTCATCCGATGATGGGCACTTAGGTTGTTTCCATCTCCGGGCTATTGTAAATAGACCTGCAATGAACATTTTGGTGCATGACTCTTTTTGAATTTTGGTTTTCTCAGGGTATATGCCCAGTAGTGGGATTGCTGGGTTGTATGGTAGTTCTATTTGTAGTTTTTTAAGGAACCTCCATACTGTTCTCCATAGTGGCTGAACCAATTCACATTCCCACCAGCAGTGCAAGAGTGTTCCCTTTTCTCCACACCCTCTCCAGCATTTATTGTTTCTAGATTTTTTGATGATGGCCATTCTGACTGGTGTGAGATGATATCTCATTGTAGTTTTGATTTGCATTTCTCTAATGATTAATGATGTTGAGCATTCTTTCATGTGTTTGTTGGCATTCTGTATATCTTCTTTGGAGAAATGTCTATTTAGGTCTTCTGCCCATTTTTGGATTGGGTTGTTTGTTTTTTTGTTATTGAGCTGCATGAGCTGCTTGTAAATTTTGGAGATTAATCCTTTGTCAGTTGCGTCATTTGCAAATATTTTCTCCCATTCTGAGGGTTGTCTTTTGGTCTTGTTTATGGTTTCCTTTGCTGTGCAAAAGCTTTGAAGTTTCATTAGGTCCCATTTGTTTATTATTTGTATTGTTTTTTAGATTCCACATACAAAGGATATCATGTTGTATTAGTCTTTCTCTGTCTGACTTCACTAAGTATAATATTCTCTAGGTCCATCCATGTTGCTGCAAATGGCAATATTTCATTCTTTTTTATGGCTGAGTAATATTTCAGCTTAGTTTTTTACCTCTCTTATAAAACTATAACTTGCCTTTTAAAGACTTTCTCTTCTTGATATCAAAAAGTAATTTAGGTCTAATGAGAAATTGTCACTTTTGGGCCTCTTTCTTCCCAGGTAGCTAGGTTCCCAATGTAGATTTAGTAACTCCATAATTTAACTAATAAATTTAACTAATAAATATAGATTTTCAAATAGAAATATATCCTAATTTACTCTTATGTTTAAGGCTAAGGCTTTAAGTTTTTCATCTTGCTTTATTTCATAGTAAGCATTTCTAAAATATTCCTATTCTCTGTTAACCACCTTTTATTGAGAATTCTTTGTTTTATACACTGTGTTGTTTCATTCATAATTTGGTACTAAATTCGAGTTTTTATTTGCTGTTTTGATTGAATAGTGCATATCTCAGTCTGTCACGCCACCCTAAAGCAACGAGCTTGTGGAATTTGTATATGAGTGTGTGTGCACGTGTGTACATATATGTATCTTAACCAATTTGCAAATGTGAGACAGTTTTAAGTAAAAAACATTTTCCTAACTCCCTGAATATTTTGTGAGATATTCAGAAAAGCAGAGTACATAAATAGCAATATGGCAGAGAGTGACTGGCAAGATGATTCATAAGGAAAAAATGCTCTATTTCTTCAGTTCACAAAAATGCACTCATTTTTATTTAAGTGTATTTGCCTGTGATCATCTTTCTTTTAAATTTAGTCTAAACTCCTCAAGGTCTTGAACCTATGATACTTGAAGTTTGAATCGATACAGGTCATGTATCCAATGTGGAAAATAACAGTTTCCTTGTTACTTTGAGGGGCACATACATTTTGAATAGACGTAGAATTTAAAATAAAATCCTTATCAGTTAATGTTTTCAAAATCAATTCTACTTGTCAGTGCACGCAAATGCTTTAAGAGAATATAGTACCTTCTCTGCACACAAGGGTACTCAGTAAGTGCTAGCCTTAATTTTCAGATATATTAGAAGTGAGTGTACTTGAAATACTATTATTTTAGCAATACCTATTCTCATTTTTAATAAAATTCTTATCTATGAAAATGTCTGCAAAGAATTCAGTGCTGTTAATCTAATTGAAACTATTTGATTACACGGAGATGAACGTTAAAATGACTAATATTTTTTGGAGACAAATTTAATTTGCTTTTAAGTACTATAGCAAATGACATTCTTCTAGATCTCTGAATGGTATTGATGTTTGTGTGTTCAGGTGTTGCACAAATTAAGGAACTAAATCACTTTTATCGGTAGGAGTTAAATGCGGTAGAGAAGCCATTAAAGTAATTTACAGCAGATGATATGTCAAAGCAGTTTCCTATGAAACCCTACAGAGATGGGAGGGAGTATGAATCATTGAGGATTTGTCATCTCTAATTACTTTAGCTCTCTTAGGAACAACACATAAATTTTTAATGGAAAAAATAAAGACAACAAACACCAGAGAGGGAATGTTGTACTTAATGCTGGCTCACTCACTTTTTGTTTTTCAAGACCAGAATTCTGAGATCAAGCTGAATCTGTATATTTGATTTTTAATGCCTTCTCTCTTCATCTTCTCTAAAACAACATCAGCAACAAATTGTTTATAAGGCCTGTGAGATTTCATTTATTTGTCCTATTGTTTGACTAACATGAGTGGAGAATGCTTAGAAAGCTTACTGTCAGTATATGTTTTTCTTTTATCTTTAATATAGGTTAAATAAACCCTTAGACTAAAAAATGATTTCAGGTACTCCTAAATTTGTATATGAAACCCAAGTACGTTAATTGCCATTATTATTTAATTTAATTAAAGTTTGCAGTAGGCATCTATTGCTTGGGTCGTGTAGCACCTACTCACTGTTTTCTGGATAAATCACCCCATTTTTCTTATGGGTAATCTTCATCTATTCTTCATGCAGGGGAGGGGCACAGAGCTGGGCAAGCTGTAGCCATGTGCCTGCCTTGAACTCAGCATTGGGCCAGCCTGGCTAGAGAAGATGCTCAAATTTGTGGTGACATGGAGGTCTGCATGCAAACCTTGGCCTGGATAACCTCAGGTAAGGAGGCAGCTGGCTGACCTGGCCTCATAGAATCAGCTTTCTGGAGATTTTTGCAGGAATACCCATTGACCACCTTACTTAGCCTGCTTAGCCTGCTTAGTCCCTCTATAGGCTATGTCTTGTTTGATTTGTGCTTTTAAATGTTTGCTATATTTTTCCTATCATTTGTTTGTTGTTTTGGTAAGATCAAGGTGTCTATTAGCTCAGTCTCCCATGTTGATGCAACCTGAAGTCTGCAATAAGGTTTTAAGAACTAAATTCCCCTACTGGTTGTCATTGTACTGGGGTCATTATAGGATTGTCAGATGATTGTCAGACTGTGTGTGAAATGATTAGCTCAGAGCCTGGCCCAGAGAAAGGACTATGTGCATGTTGGTTAGGGGACTAGAGGAGATGGTTGTGTGTGCAGCCTAGCATGTGTCAGCTGGCCAAAAGTAAGAAAGTGTTCTGGAAAGAAAAGGGCTGAGAATCTCAAAAATCTTCTCTACTTCTTATTTGGAGGCAGCTCTGGTAGCCTCTGTCCCTTGGTCCCATCAGGTCCTCATCACTGGGAAACACTCTCGGAAAACTTCAAAGAGCTGAGTGAAAATACCAGTCAACTGAGTTTCATACCTAGCCAAACACTCTTTCAAGAGTGAGGGCAAAATGAAAAAAAAAAAAATCAGACAAAGACTTGGAGAGCTTACTAATCCATGGTGCTTTTAAAGGGAATAGGTATAGTTCAGCAAGAAGAAAACTGAACCGAGGAGGAAGTTTATAAAAAAATATAAAAGAAACTAAAAGAAAAGATAATGAAATTTAACCATTGATGGTGCTTTTTCCCAACACAAGTAAGATAAAACTAAATTTCAACACAATAATAAAATATGTTGGAAAGTTCAAGGGTGATTAAATCATATTATCAAGAGGAGAATATAAAGTTGAACTTTGACTTTTAGAAAAATTCATGGATAAGAGATATCTTAACACTTTAAGTGTTTAAAAGCAACTTTTTGATCTTTAGCTTTCAAACAAAGATATAACAAAAATTTTTATCAGTCTAATCAAAGATAGGAAAAAGAACAAAAGAAGCAAAGAAATGAATGGTAAGTAGAAACTACAAAATAAGGTGGTAGAAATAACTGTAAATGTGTAAGTATTCAGCATAACTGTTGTCAAGTAACATAATTATTGCAGGTAACAAGTAAATCATCCCAAGTTACTGCATCACGTTGACTTCAGGTTACAGCAACATAGTAGAATGAGCTAATAGAAACCTTGATCTTATCAAAAACACTAACAAATGCTGGAAAAATATAACAAACAGTTAAATGTATAATCCAAACAAGTAATAACATAAAGAGGGACCCTAAAGCACTAAGCACACTTTTTCAAGTAGCATGTATTTTAATCTCCACTTGCCTTACATCTTGATATGTCTTAAATGGTTTTGAACTCTAGTAGAGAAGAACGGGTTATATTATATGGGAATCCTGCTGTCCCTAACAGAACAAAATAGGAAGTTCAGAGAAACACACCTACATAAATGAAAACTTGGTATATGACAAGGATATTAGAAATCAGTGGAGATAATCGATTTACTGAATAGAGCAGTCACAGTTGGCTACCTAAATAGGAAAATAAAGATAAAATTAGATCCCTATCTCACATCATACATAAAAATCTATTGTAGGTAGAATTACAAAATATCATACAGCAACATATTAAAATAAAAGCATAAATAGGAGAATGCCATTTAATTTCAGAGTAAAGAAAAACATTTAAAACTATTCACAAAAAGCACAAGCCATAAAAAGCTAAATTTCACTAAATTAAAATGTTAAATTTCTTTAGAGTGATAAACAGATAACATTAAAATAAAAGTCAATCTGGAAGAAGATATTTGGTGTACACATAAGTGTCAAAGAAATAGTAGCTTGAGAACATAAAAAGTCCAATAACCCAATGGAAAAATGTGGAAAAGACATGAACAGACAATTCACAGAAGAGGAAACCTAAATTAGCTTTGTAGGTTAGCAATGATGTTCAAATTAACTAGTAATCAGTAAATACAAATCAAAACAACAAAATACAGGGGTTTTTCCCCCATATATAACATCTTTTTTAAAATTAAAAAAAATTTTTATTGGAGTATAGTTGACTTACAATGTTGTTAGTTTCTGCTGTACAGCAAAGTGAGTCAATTATACATATACATATATCTACTCTATTTTAGATTCTTTTCCCATATAGGTCATTATAGAGTATTGAGTAGAGTTCCCTGTGCTATACAGTAGGTTCTTATTAGTTATCTATTTTATACATAGCAGTGTGTACATGTCAATCCCAATCTCCCAATTATCCCTCCCTCTCCTTCCCCCCAGTAACCATAAGTTTGTTTTTTACATCTGTGACTCTATTTCGGCTTTGTAACTAAGTTAATTTGTACCATTTTTTTTTAAGGTTCCACATATAAGTAATATCATTTGATATTTGTCTTTTTCTGTCTGACTTTACTTTACTCAGTATGACAACTCTAGGTCCATTGATGTTGCTGCAAATGGCATTATTTTGTTCTTTTTTATGACTGAGTAATATTCCTTTGTATATATGTACCACATCGTTATCCATTCATCTGTCAGTTGACATTTAAGTTGCTTCCATGTTCTGGCTATTGTTAATAGTGCTGCAATGAACATTGGGGTGCATGTATATTTTTGAATTATGGTTTTTCTCTGGATATATGTCCTGGAGTGTGATTGCTCACCTCACACCAGTCAGAATGGTCTTCATCAAAAAATCTACAAACAATAGATGCTGGAGAGGGTGTGGAGAAAAGGGAAACCTCCTACACTGTTAATGGGAATGTAAATTGGTACAACCATTATGGAGAATAGGTATGGGGTTTCCTTAAAAATCTAAAAATAGAGCTACCATATGATCAAACAAAATACAGTTTTACACTAGTATAACTGCAGAAATAAAAAGTTATGGCCGTGCTAAATTGATATATACATATTTATATGAAAAACTGATGTATAACAGTTGAGGATGTGGGGAAATAGGAATCTCATCCACTGCTGAAGGGGATGGAAATTAAACCAGCTTTGGAGAGCAATTTGGCAATGTGTAGTGAACCTGAAGATTGCCTATGCTAGGTGTATAACTACAGGAGGAAATATAAATAAGAATGTTCAATGCTAAATTGCTTACAGTGGTGAAAAACTGAAAACAGTATAAATATCCATTAGAGGAAAATTAATAAACAAATTATAGCATATTCATATAATACAGTACTATAAAAAAATCGAAATGATCATGTGCTCCAAGTATTAGTATGAGGTAAAATGTTGAGTAAAAAAATGGAAAAAGAAATTTGTGATGTGATACCTATAGAATGATAACATTTTTGTAATATTTAAATATGCTATCAAATATTATACTGGAATGAAGATGGCGTGCATGGATATTAAGCTTACTTGGAATGATTTTGTTTTAAAAAATGTGAAACAAATTTGGTAAACAGAGAATGTATTAAAGTTGGGTAGTAGATACATGATGCATATTTTGATTTTATTATTTAAAAAATTTGCATGTATGAATATTTTATAATAAAGTTTTTTGTGAAATAGGAAGATAAGGATGATAGAATAAAATAGAAAAAGGGCAAAATATATCAATAAATAATTAACTAAAGAGGAAACCTAAGTGACTAATAAATATACTTAATTACAAATGTAACAAGGTAAATGAAACTAAAGCAAAAATAAAAGCTCACTCTGGGCTTCCCTGGTGGCGCAGTGGTTGAGCGTCCGCCTGCCGATGCAGGGGATACGGGTGCGTGCCCCGGTCTGGGAAGATCCCACATGCCGCGGAGCGGCTGGGCCCATGAGCCATGGCCGCTGAGCCTGCGCGTCCGGAGCCTGTGCTCCGCAATGGGAGAGGCCACAACAGTGAGAGGCCTGCGTACTGCAAAAAAAAAAAAAAAAAAAAAGCTCACTCTACCCAAATAGGCAAAAATAAAAAATTTTGAAAATACCAAATTGGTGAAGGTGTATGTTAAGATGACCTTTGATGGGAGTGTAGAATACTGTAATTCCTTTGTAAAACAACTTATAACTTTGAAGATAAGCATATCTTATGTACAAACAATGATATTATCCTAAATATGCCTTCGTGCAGGTGCACAAAGACAAAAGTGTTCATCAGACGATGTATAAGTGGATAAGTGAGAACTAACCTAAATAAACACAAATAGAGGACCAGAAGAATTAAGGTCTATTCACATGATGGAATACTACATAGATAAAATGAAATAACTAGGTCTGAATGTATCAACATTGATAAATATAAAAAAAATGTTTAATAAAAATTGTCAAATGTTACATTGACCATTGTACTAATTATGTAGATTTAAAAACATAAGGACTCTTTATTCTGCTTTTTGATCTATTTATCACCACATCAAGAGCACACTATCCTAATTACTACTGTTTTATAATAGATATTGATATGTGTGGGCACGTCTCTCTACCTTGATCATTTTCAGTAATATTTTGTCTATTCCTGGTCTTTTATTCTTTCAAATAAATTTCAAATTAGCTTGACAATTTAATTAAAATATGTTTTTTTTTAAAAATTACATTGATTCTATTACTCTGATAATTTAGGGAAAATTGCCTTTGTGACATTGAGTCTTCCTTCTCATAAAAATGATACTTATATTTTTAAATTGTTGTCACCAAGTGTTTCAATGTCTGACTTTCTCCAAAAATATATTGTGTATCTTTTGTTGGCTGCCTGTTACTTCTATTTTCCCCACATTCACCACGTACCAAGTTAAATAGTGTGCTTTTCTTTTTTAAATTGAAACAGCCCTTGTTTTTAGAGATGAAAGAGTTCTATCTCCTAATTTCTCCCTATTATTAATGAAGTTGTGGGTGAGTAGAGGGCCATTAATATATGCCAGATTCTACCATGAATGCTGGTCAGAAATTATAAGAAAATTAATTGCAAAG